TATATATTTATTCAATATGTATGTATGTATGTGATCATGGTTATTGATAGGTGGGTGCCCTGCATATACTCATACACACACACTTGGTATGATTAATGGCATTGGCATCCTATTAGGCTTAACTCGTGTCGACATTAATTATATACCAGTCTATAGTACTGTCTATAGACTCTGTTATTTGTCATTTGATTTTTTTTCGTGGATAGTATGTTATTAGATGTGAGAAAAAAATAGTGATTAAACACTACTAAACTTAACTTTTTTTTCTAATAATTATTATATGTGTGTCTATGTGTTTGTTTGTGTCTATGTATGTATGTGTGTGTGTGTGTGTGTGTGTGTGTGTGTATGTGTGTGTATGTGTGTGTGTTATTATTAGTGTTGGCAGAAAAAAGAGAAATTTATAAAATAATAGGGAAATTTCTAGAAAGTTTCTAAAAGAAATTTCTATCTATGGGATCCCCATGTTAATTTTGTTTTCTCAATATTTGTTAACTTGCTTTTACTGTACATTGTTTTTACAAGTAATAATTAATTATAAGTATCAGTATTTTAATTATTAATTAAAGTAAAAAATTTATTTATTTAATTATATTAAACTATGATATAATAAAATGATGAATAAATTTTACAAAACTGATTATTATTAAATAATTATATTTATTTTATATATTGTTATCCCATTTTGTATAATTATGTACTATATAGTTTAATATATGTATATTATTATGTCTCATTGATTAACAATATCTATAGATATGGGGATCCCATTGTATAATAATAGTTAAATTTCTATAGAAATTTATTCCTGAGAAAGTTTCTAGAAACTTTCTCAGGGAAATTTGTTAGAAACTTTCTATTTGCCCATCTCTAGTTATTATCATCATCAGCATCAGTAACCATCACTAGGGATAACCTATTAATGTATTAAATTTTTTGTTTTAATTATTACCCATATTATTATTATTATTAACTATTTGTTTTTTTTGTGGAAATAAATACAATATATATATAGTTTGTATGACTTAATGGTGTTTAAAGATATATTGATTGAAATATTTTTTTTTGTGTTTTTAGTTTAGTTTCTTATTGTTGTTGATGTATTGATTAGTAGTTATTTTGTTGCTATTATAGTATTATTGTATTTTTTGTTTGTTTGTTTGTTTGATTAACTTTACACTACTTTAATATATATATATATATATATATATATAACAGTATTATATATATATATACAAACTTTTATTAAAAGCCAATGTCAATGTCAATTAAAAATCCCAGTAAATTAACTTCATTTAAGTGACACTATTGGACTAATACTATCAACAAAAAAAAAACAAAAAACTAACTTATCTTTTAGTATTGCTTTTTGTTGTCTTAACAATCAATAGATAATAATGTTTAGAGAGAGAGAGAGAGAGAGAGAGAGAGAGAGAGAGGAAAAAGCGTATTGTCATTAAAACATGTTATTAACATCTAATGTAACAGAAAATTGTATCAATTTTTTTTTTTATCACTTTATCTCTCTCTCTCTCTCTCTCTCTCTCTCTATCTATCTATCTATCTATCTATCTATTTATCTATCTATCTATTTATCTATCTATTTATTTATCTCTCTCTCTCTCTCTCTCTCTCTCTCTCTAAATACTAGTTTTCATTTTATTTGCAATTTTCAATACAATTAATAGTAGACTAAGATTACAATATACCCCGCGATATATGTGTACTGTATTTAAAAAAACAGTTTTATATTTAAATTAGTAATTTAATTTATAATTTAAAATTTTAATTATTTTAGATTTAAATAATTATAAACAAGTACAAATAAGTATTAAATTACGGTTTGGTTTATTTAAAATAAAAAACAATTTTCAACTCTAGATAACTATTATTTTATATTATTACTACTACTTAATTTATTTAAAAACTAAATAAACTAGAAAATATTGATTTAAAAATTAAAATTATAAAATTACTTTTTAGTCTATAAAAAAAAATATTATTTTCAAAAAAAATTATTTGATACTATGTAATGTTTTAAATATTTAAATCACATACAGTTTTAATCAATTTATTTTAAAATGTTGAATATATTTAAAATAATAGCAAAATAAATAAAAGAAAACTAAAAAAATTTCATCAATTTGATTATTTAAAAATTTTTAAAAGTTTAATAAATAAATAAAAACACATATATATAATGTATATATATTTATATATTTTTTTGTTTTATTAAATTTATAAACAAACAAATTGATTAAAATTTTTTAGTATTATTTCATATATTGTTTACTATTATTTTAAATATTCAACATTTATATAATCATAAAATTTTTAGCAAGGTCAAATTTAATCTATATAACTATTTATTTTGTTATTATTATTATTGTTGTAGTAGTAGTAGTATTAGTATTAGTAGTTTAAAACTTTTAGATAAAATAAAACTAAATTTTAATATTTTCGTTTTAAAATTATTATATATTTTATTTAGTTTTATTTGTTTAGATTACAACTAACAAAAAAAACATGATTACAATTACATGTATTATTTATAAGTATTATTTATTGTATATATATACTGTATATTTGCTATAGTAATAATAATTTTTGTTTTGTAGATAAATGTATACTAATATTATAAAATCATTTATATATATATATATATATATATATATATATCTTATATTGCATTTAAAATTTTAATTTCAAAATTTCAATTTCAAAAATAAATATACAGTATATTAGGTATTTTAGTAGTAGTAGTAGTAGTAGTAGTAGAAATAGCAATAATATTTAAGTTTTTATAAATTAGTATACAAAAAAATTTTAAAAAATAAAAATTTAATCTCATAAGTATAGTATAGTATTTAGATTAAATCTAGAAAAATTAAATATGAAAATTAATTTAATTTAATATTTTAGTTTAGATAAAAAACAAGATTTTACTACTATTAGTATTTTTGAAATAATAATAATTTTCTGTTAAAACATTATATTAAAATATTAAAACATTTGTTAATAATTTATGCAACAAAATAAACTTAATGAAATGCATTTTTAAATTGTATATATTATATATAAATTAATACTACAGGTATATTATATATATATATATATAAGCTAATATAATATATTATTTACAACAATATTAGCATAGCATACATGTTGTACACTATGTTTAAACGATAATTATTTTTTTTAATTTTATTATTTATTATTATCTAAATTATCAAATCAATATAACTAGAAATAATAATAATATTAGATTGATTATAAATTATATATCGGATACTTATATATAATATAAATTTTATAATATATATATATATATATATAATTTATATAATTTATATACTTATAAACTTTGAAAATTTATAATAAAAATAATCAACATTAGTGTATGTTATAGATTATAACAATATATACCAGTATATATATATATATTATTTTATTATATATTTATTAAATATTTATAAATGTATTTTATTTTTTAATTATATAAACATATAAACTTAACTTATAATAATATAGTCAATTAATTTATTTATGGGGGATATTTATTTTATTGGTTGTATATTAATTTAATAGCTGATTAAACATTAGATATTGTAATATTAATAGTTATGCTATTTTTAAAAACTAAAACAAAATTATAATATTTATATATCAATAATAAGCAAATAGTTTTTAAATACTATGCCATCTATAGGCGATAACATTAACATTAGTTTATAAACTGTTTTAAATTTTTATTATAAAAAAAATAATTGTTAATAACTTATTGTTTATTACTATTAATTATAATTAATAAATTTATTAAATTTCAATTTATTTGATTAAAATTTTAAAAAAAAATAATTTTCTAGAATAGATATTAATATTTATATAAAAAAATCAAACCAAGATCATTTTTATCGAAAATTTTATTTTCAATTTTTTTGTTTACTAATTAATTTATAATTAAATTGCAATAAATATTAATTTATAATTAAATTGCAATAAATATTAATTTATTTTATATCAATAATTATTAAATATTATAAATAAATTCATTATTTAATTATAATTTAGTTTAAGTTAAAATTTTCAACATATACATAGATAAACACAAATTTTAGTTAAAAAAATACGTTATTTATTTAAAATATTATTTTAATAAAAAATAAATAAATAAAATGACAGTTTGCTAAACAAAAAAAAAAGTTGAATCAAAACTTGTTTTTATATATTAAAAAAGTTTATTATTTATAAAACATATGAATGAAATAAAAATGATTATTAGTATTGTATTGATATATAAGTTATATATAATATACTGTATATCTATAAATAATTTTAATAAGTTTTAAACAAAAGTGTATTAATTAAATATATTGACATTATTAAATATAAACATGGTCAATTTGGTCAATCAATGTAACTAGAATAATTTTATTATTAAAAAATAATTTATTATAAATTAAATAACTTATAATATCATATATATAATTAAGATACTGTATATAATATTATAATTTATAATATAAATATTTTTTACTAACTTTTACTTAAACTTTATTTATTTATAATTTTCTAAATATATTTATAATATACTTATTAAATATTTATAATATACTGTATATACAGGTATCATATATAGTATCTTATATTTAGATAAATTAAAATTATTAATTTAGTGTTTTAATATATAAACATATAATTTATCATTTTAAATGATAATAATTATATAAATCAATTAAATCAATGTTTAAACATTGATGAATAAAATTAAACATAAAATTAAACATAAAATTAAACATAAAATTAAACATAAAATTAAACATAAAATTAAACATAAAATTAAACATAAAATTAAACATAAAATTAAACATAAAATTAAACATAAAATTAATTTTGTTAATTTGATTATATATTTATATTTATTTTTATTTATTATCAATTTACTAAATTAATTATTAATAATAATAATTTTTTATTATTATTATATTATACTTAAATAGGTTGGTCTAAGCGAACTGGCCAAATCGGTAAACTGGCCAACCGAGGACAGTTCGCTAGTCAAGATAAACTTTTGGATGTATTCGGTAATTACAAAACTGATACCGTGTATAGCCCTGACCTACCTGTCCCTGGCATTGGTACGGGTACTCTATAGGGCCAATCAACGCAAACAGCGTCTCAAACATCATCATCATCACAATCATCAGGGTATAGGAGGTGGTGTCGGTATCAACTATAACAGTGTATCTACCGGTACCACCACCACCAACACCACCGGCGGTAGTAACAATGTCGTACATCCGGCACTGGTAGTCAGCAATAGCCAACATTGCGATCGTACCACTCGTATGCTGCTGGCCATACTGCTGATGTTTTTGATAACCGAATTCCCATCGGGACTGGTAGCCCTGTTGGCCGGCATACTGGGCGACAAGTTTCAGTACGCTGTCTATCATAAAGTAGGCGAACTAATGGATCTGTTAGCCCTGATTAACAGTGCCATCAATTTTATACTGTACTGTACAATGAGCCGCCAGTTTCGGGTAACGTTTGCCAAATTGTTTTGTACGTCGACGACGACCACTATGACCACAAATGACCAGACAATGGCCGGCGGCGGCGGCGGTGCCTATAATGCCAACAATCAGTCGACAATGATCGCCGGCGCCGTCACCAATAACAACATTAGTACAACAGCAGCTACCGGTGCTTGTCATCAAGCGAAACATCAGCAGCAGCAGCACCGACACCAACACAAGCAACAACAACGGCGCGATAGTGTCGACCCGTATACCTGTAATACTACATGTGTTTGAAGGACGACATCCCCGACCCGAGCTCAAGGGACAGGGGCTGTGGGAGGGGTGGTTTGGTGTGTGTTTGGAATGGGTTGATGCGGGAGTTGTGTCTGTGTGTGTGTGTAGACACTGTATCTAACATACATACATACACACACACCCACCCAACGAATCCATTGTAAGGCCTCCTTCTCAGTGGTTTCTGAGAGAGAGAGAGAGAGAGACGGGCACTCCTGGGTATCCCCCCCCCCCAAAAAACACCTATTAAAATATAGTAGTGTATCAATTTTTAATACATACTATTTTGATGACCCCCCCCCCATCCCCAACCCTTTTAGCAATCATAAATACTATATAATTGTATATAATAAATATATATATATATATATATATATAATAAGAGTACCAGGCTTATGTGTGTACAAATTGTTTTTAATCACACCCCCACCCCTCAATACCCTTACCCAGGACATATAACATTACACACACACATTATTGTTATTATTATTATTATTAATAAATACCTGTAATAGAGTAATGTATATTATTATACTGTAATTTGTGTGTGTGTGTGTAGTAAAAATCATCAATGTAAATTTTGATGTAAACTATTATTATTTTTTTAAAAAAAATCTAATTGTTATGTGTGGGGTTGGATTGGGGGGGGGGTTGTGGGGGTGTTTAGACTAGTAGTTGCTAAACGTTTATTATTGATTAGTATCTGTATATTAGTATTTTGATTCAAAAAAAAAATTAATTATTTTAGAAATAATAATAATTTATTAACTGTATAATTAAACATAACCAAACAAATAATAATAATTTGTTACAGGGTACAATACATTTTATTAAATAAAATACAAATAATATTAATTTGTTGCCAATTTTTTTTTTTAAATAAATAATTAGTATATTAAAATAAAAATAATACATAAATTATTTTTGTGTTTAATTAATAATTAAATATATGATATATTTATTTTAATAATACATGTATAATAAAATCAATATAAAATTTGAAATTGTTAAAAAAAATTTAAAAAAAAATTTCAATAGTAATTTTCAAATAATTAATACAGTATTATTATTATTAATTAATTTTAATTATTATTATTATTAAATATTTATTTGGTAAATGATTATGTTAAAATTTACTTTAAATTTCAATTGATAATAGATGGCGTAATAGTATAATTTTTTTTTAAATTATCAAAAAAAACTTGCTAGTTAAATTATTTAAAAAACAAACAAACAATATGTATGTGTTGTAGTAAGTTTGCAGTAAACTTTTTGCGTAAACTTTCAACATTCCTAAAAATATTATATATTTATATTAGATATACAATGCCATAATAGTTATGTATATATATATATATATACAGTATAAATGCTTTATATGTAATAAATAAAAATAAAATTTAAAAACTTTTTTTATTATTTATAAAGTAATAATATATATATATATATATATATATATATATATATATATATATATATATATATATATATATATATAGTAATTGTATAAATTTATTTAATTATTTGTAAAATATTTTTGTTAATTAAACTCTTCAAACAATATGTTAGCAAAAATATGATAATAATTAATTTAAATTTAAGTACAAATTGAATACAAATTAAATACACATAATATATATATATATATATATTTATATTTTTAAATTATTAAATTCAAATTAAA